TCTTCATCGCATGCTTTAATTACCTTCACTTCAATCCTCTTTGGTTTCGTGACGCCATTGACTGGAGTTTTATATTGCAATACATATCACATCCCGAGTGTGACATCAGATATATAGCCATTCAATGTCATCGCATACTGTTTGCTATAAATGACAATCAATTTGAATGTCTCTTCAAACCGGAGTTCAGTGAAGAAGACTTGACTCGACTTCGAGTGAAATATTTATATCTATTCTCTTCTCGCAATCCAACCGTTAATCTGAAAAATAGTTTATATTATCAAAGATGTGATGAAGTGTTGAGTGATTCTCAGCTTTGTTTCAAAGACGACGACTTCTGCGAAGACATTGTTTCAGTTGAAGGCGTTTTGATCAATAAATTTGCGATTAATAGTGAATGGACTCAAAGAAATAGTTTCAGTGATGAGAACCGAATTGTTTTGCTGCCGACCACTCAGTCTAACCTCCGGTGTCTGGCATTAGGTGTTGCTTATGGCAAACCAGTGCTCATTGAGGGGCCCATCGGTTGTGGCAAAACATATACCATTCCCATTCAGACAACATTTAGCGTTCAATTCCTGTGTTTGTGTCAAATAATATCTTAATGTTAATAAGTGTTACGTTTATGTGTTTGTGTGCCTATACTTTGAGCTCTTGGTTGTGACCTTAACTTTGTTTGAATTATCTCTTCTTCTTTAACTCGTTTTTCTCTGACATTCAAATCAATTTAGATTTGAATTTACAAAAAATAAGAACAAATTCTCCGAAAAAGCCTAAAGCTATAGAAATTGAATTTTTCCAATGAGTTTCAGATCTTTGTAAAAGTTTCAAAAGTATTTGTGTGAATTGTGTTCACTTTTGTGTTTTATTTTGATAAAAGTAATAAAAGTAAACCAGAGCTCAATTTAGAGCATTAATACATTTGGACCGGAAAGTGGAACATAAGGTAATAACTGTAGCAATGATTTTCACATTTATAGCTATATTTTATACTAATTTTATGCAAAATTACTTTTTAAAATGCTTTCCATTAGTCTGCAAATTCTATTCTTAAACATTTTTTGTTCAATGTTTATGTTATAAATATTAAACTGTTTTTAAAATATTTTACTATTATTTATATGAATGGGTTTTATGTAACTTAAGAATGACTTTTCAGAAAAAATTTCTTTAAATTCACTTATTTATAGAAATTAAAAACTATTTTCATACAAAATATTATACAATTTGAGAATTATATATATTTTTATTTATTACAAATAACTTTTGTGCTATTATTCTAAAATGAATTCAATGAATATACAAAGTGCTATTTATTTTGATATTTATTTGAACAATTAATATGAAGTCAAACTAATGTCAACGTTTCATATTTGAACACATTTTCTTTTGTAGACTTTTTTAAATAACAAAATATATTATTCACTATAAACCTTAAAATTTAGTTAAATTTAACGTATAGTTAAGTGTCAAACCAGTGATTTGTGGAATAAATTTTAAAATTTTGCTAAAACTTTATTATTTAAAAAAAAGTTTTTAGAAACAAAGATGAAATTATAAAAACTCACGTTTAATACCTGTTTTCAGTGCCATTACGTTTTGTGAATATTTAATACTATAATAAAACTAAAAGAATTATTTTGCTTATGTTTAATTAGTATTCAAATTGTTTTTTAATCACTGGTTTACTAATATTCTTCAAACAATTTGTGTTTCATATGAAATATATATAAGATTTAATGAATGGAAAGGAAATGACAAATGAAGGCAAGAATCACACGAATGGGTCAATTAATGGCCAAAATATTAAGAATGGTGTCAAAGAATCGCCGTTTCAGAGGAATACATCCGACAGACGATCGAGGGCTTCAATCCGACAAATCCCCCGAAGAGTGTCTACCACATCGAGTGTCAAATCTAGGGGCGGATGGGGTAACAAATGGGGTCAGTTTGCACCAGAATCATATTCTCATATTTCTTATTTTAAAGATTTATATTTATTTTAAATATTTATTTATTAAGAATTTTTATTGAGTTGTGTTGGACTAAGTGTCGGAATCGGCAATGTTTGGAGGTTTGTACAAATTTAATTTATATTTATTAAATTATATATAATAATTCATATACAAACAAATAGATTCCCATACTTGGCCTATCAGAATGGTATGTTATTTGACATTTACAGTATTACAAGTGATGGAAATGAATTACTAAAATTGTCGACTGTAAAGGTGGTGGTGCTTTTCTCATTCCCTACCTAATAATGCTAACTCTCGCGGGAAAGCCCATGTATTTCATGGAATTGGCTTTCGGTCAGTTCGGGGGCACCGGACCCCTAACCATATGGAACTGCGCTCCCATTGCTAAAGGAGTTGGCGCTGCTATGATCGCCGTCTCGTTAGTGCGGGAAAGCCCATGTATTTCATGGAATTGGCTTTCGGTCAGTTCGGGGGCACCGGACCCCTAACCATATGGAACTGCGCTCCCATTGCTAAAGGAGTTGGCGCTGCTATGATCGCCGTCTCGTTAGTCGTTTGCATTTATTATAATGTCGTAAGTTTTACTTATTTTTATTAATTTTTTTCTTATTTAATCAATATTCAACAAATACAATTAACAATAAAAGGGGGTTTTGGAAACTTTTTATATAACCATTGCATAATCACTTATACAATAAAAATTTTAATTATTTAAAAAGTGTAGACATTCAATAACTCCAAGCAATTTAGAATATACATTTACTTGCTTATACAAGTATAATTTGTTTGTATAATTATTTTTAAATTCTTAATAAATGATGTAACAAATTTTTTGACAACTAAATAGATTTACCTTTGAATATAATTAAAGGTGATGTCATACACCCTATACTTTATCGGTCACTCATTTCAATCGGAGCTGCCGTGGCAGAGGTGTGATCCTGAGTGGGCTAATGGCACTAATTGCACCGTCAGGTCTAAAAATGTATATAAGCTTATACTGTATTGTACTTTTAGATGTTACTATTATTCACAAATAATTATTAAATATTTTTAATATTTTCATGTCTTTAGTCTACATTCGGAGACGGCGTCTCTTCAAGTCAAGTATAGCCCACTTATTATTAGACATTCAGTCATTATACTAATAGCCAACTATTATTATGTTTTAGGTTTTTTGGGAGTAAGTGCTGAACATTTAAAACAACAATTATCACTTTTATGACATATAAATATCACACAAAAGGCGAAAAGTATTAGATATATCACCCGGAATCGATCAGTTGAATGGAATCAAATGGGATTTAGCTCTTTGTCTGGCCATTAGTTGGATTATTGTCATCCTTTGCCTCCTTAAAGGTTGAATCACTTTCTAATATACTGTATATTGCCATTAAAATGATGAGTAATTTAAACTTTTATTCCCTAGGAGTAAAAACAAGTGGAAAAGTAGTATATTTTGCAGCAACTTTTCCCTGTAAGTTAGCTACTCACAATTATTGTCAGATGAATTAATTCTTAAAATTTTTCATTATTCAGACGTTATCCTAATCTCACTGTTAATCGCTGGTGTCGTACAAGAGGGTGCCTGGGAAGGTATGCTCTCATATAACATGCAATACATAGAATGTATATAAAGAACTATAGTTAAAATATAATTTAATTTTTGCTAGGAATCAAATATTTTATTGTGCCCCAATGGGATAAACTATTGGAAATCAAGGTATTTTGAATGTGTATATCGAGAAATTGACGTTTAAAATGTAAATCTAAAGGTATGGCAGGCCGCGGCCGGACAAATGTTTTTTAGCTTAAGTGTAGCCATGGGAGGGCTTATTATGTTTAGCAGCTATAATGACTTTCGGCACAACATTTTCCAGTAATTATTTACTAGAATATTCTTACTTTAAATATACCTATTAATGATTACTATATTAATTTTAAGAGATGCTATGATTGTCAGTGTTTTGGATACAATCACTTCAATAATCGTGAGTTTATGATATCTGAATACAGTACTGTACTTAATATTGTATTTATATCTCACAGTATTTTTCATTTTGATTACATTGATAATATTATTTCTAACGTTTAAAAACAAATTTTATAATAGTCCGGATTAGTCATATTCTCAGTGTTGGGGGCAATGGCACACGATTTAGGACCAGGTGTGAGCGTGACTGATGTGGTCAAAAGTGGCCCTGGTCTAGTATGTTAAGTAAATACTTAATGGTCATGAATTAATGTGCAAGTTTTTAGGCATTTGTCACATATCCTGAGGCACTGACTCGACTCCCATTCCCACAAGTTTGGTCCGTTCTCTTCTTCTTTATGTTGTTTACATTAGGTCTCGATTCTGAGGTAATCAACGATTCTGTTGATTAAATCAAACCTAATATACAGTATATATTAATCATGTTATATATTATAACAGTTTGCTCTCATGGAGAATGTATTAACGAGTCTTTCCGATGAAATACCATTCCTTCGAAAACATAAATTGAAATTCTGTGTCATAACTGGAATCGTTTGCTTTTTGTTGGGTCTTCCCTGCGTTACAAGAGGTTAGTCTTACTATTAAATACTATAATATAGTATATATTATATAGTACTGTATACAGTATTATATAACTTACTAAATGGTGAATAGTTAATCGCTTACACGACTGTCCAATTAGGCGGTCAATATGTGTTTGATGTGGTCGACAATTATGGCGGAAGTCTTCCTTTGGTGTTCATAGCAGTGGCCGAATGCGTGGCACTCATGTGGGTCTATGGCTTTGATAGGTTTGCTTTCGACATCAACTTTATGTTAGGCCGACAATTGGGAATCTATTGGAAAGTGACCTGGAAGTACACATCACCTATCATTTTGGCCCTTATTTTTGTCTATTCACTCGTTAATTTTGCGCCATTAAAAGTATACACAATTAAGAATAGTTATAATAACTTATATAATTAATTCTTAAATTATATTTTAAAAGTATGGTGAATATGATTATCCCGATTGGGCGGACGCTATGGGTATATGTCTCACCTTGATAATTGTACTCCAGGTGCCAATTTGGGCATTTTATAGCATATACACACAAAAGAAAGGACAGACTTTTAAAGAAGTAAGTGTTTGTCTTGAATGATGTGTCAAAAAGTTGAGTTAAATGTAAGAGTTAAGAGAAATAGAAACAACTTTCTATAAACTTGCCTCAAGAAAGTTGCAAATTTACAAATTGAATCTATATTGCCTTATAAGTAGGGTTTAGCATTGAGCACATAATTGAATGTTAATTTGATTGTGTCTGATCTTAAAGAGAGTCGAGTTATCGTGTATTGATTCTGACGACTGGGGGCCCAAAGATAAGACTCTGAGGGATGAGTGGAGAACCAAATATGCAAATTGTCTCTCATTCCAAACCCAGGAACCGATGAACAACAAAGAACCGGCAGTTTTGATGAAATGTGAAATAATAGACAAAAAGACTAATAGTGCCGACAATCCGGCGTTCGTTGCAGACATTCCTTAACTTATTTCATATCATAGACTCATTACTACTGTATATCAGTTCAAAGCATAGATTCTTATATCCATTCCATATCTTACTCTTTATTTAATTTTTTATTTCTCTGGAATCAGGAATTTTTGTTTTAAAAGTTATGTTTTAAGAATAATATTTTATATAACAAGTATATTTATGAATTTGTTTCTAATTAAAATTGTGAAAATTACAAATATTAATAAAATATCTCAATTATATGATCTGTTAAAACAATGACTAAATTACTGGTAATTTTAATTGTATTACATTTTATAGGAAAATACTATACTGTACTTATAGTAAATTTAAATAAAATTACGGTAAAGTAATTTGTAAAATGGTAATAAAATTATTTCGATAAAAAATTAAACTAACAAGGTTGAATTAAGTCATCATTTAATTGTTAATTTTTATTCTTACGGTACAAACTTTGTTTAAATTCAAAAATATAAAATCAATTTTATTGCAATTCGCAAATTTAAATTATAGAAAAACTTTTGAAAACATTTTTCTAAAATATGTATTAATTAGAAACATTTCGTTGAGTAATAGACATAAAATTGAAAAATTAAATTAAAGTTATGTTTATTTAATGAGACTACTGTTGGATAGTCTGAATTTGTGAAGGGTTTGGCGGCTCGTCAGTGAATAAAATCCTGGGGCCGTAGAGTAGAACATAAGCGCAGTGCCAGTCACCTAACAGTCCGGTCATGAATATAGTTAATAAACAATTAAACACGTGTTAAGTGTTAAGTCATACCTCCGCCCGAAAGCTTCAAAATCTCTTCAGACGGAACAGAAGAGACGACGTCGTCATCGCATTTGAACCATTCGTCTGAGACAACAAAACAAGATAAATATATGGCGTATGGGAACGGCGTGTCAAACAAGTCATACCCTCTTTCTTTCTAATCCAACCGACATAATGGCCGCTAGAACTGGACCGTCCCTTATGTGTGAGCACTGCCTGCAACTCATAAAAGCCGCTGTTATTAGAGCCGACGTCGCCGTCAAAAGAATAGTTGTGTCGGTGTTTGCCTTTCGCCTCGTCTTCTGGTTTGAGTTTGCCTTTAGTCACCGATTCCTCGAGTTTTTTGTCTTCAATCTCTTTAAACTTCTGTCGCATTGGAATCAACTTCTCCTGGAGAGCTGGAGTGCACAACTCAAACACATCTAAATTGAGAGTGAATTTGATGTCTTTGAGAATCTTCGCGTTCACAGAACCCCTCTCTTTGTAGAAGAAGCGGACGAACTGAATGGCCAGATATGCCGGCAATCGACTTATTTTACTGATCTTCTCGTAATTGGCGTTCGCGTTCAAAGTCGGAGAAAACTTTTCAATCGTCTCTTTAAGTCTTAAGTTAAGACCCGATTGTAAGTACTTGACATCTGAACACATTTCACACATTAATACAAACAACGAATGAAACCAAAAGCAAATGAATTACCGGTAGATATAAAACAACTCAATTGAAGAAAATTTTCCGTTGAATAGACGGGACTTTCGTCTTCGCATTCATTGCACTTCATCTCGACATCAAAGGTTCCGCTGAAGTATTGGTCGATGAAGTTGTTGGCGGTTCCGGTGGTGAGTCTGAGCTTTTGCTGCAGCATACGAATGAGTTCAGTCCAGCACTCGTTGGCGTCCTGTTGCACGAAAGCGCCGCCCTCTCCCTTCTCGGCAAAGCGGGGGAAAGCCATGTGAAGCACTTGAAGCAAAATCAAGGGCGCGATTGTCGACGACTTGTCCATCGCTTCGTAGAGATCGCGCAAAGCAATCGTCAGATTCTGCGACGCTTCCAGTGAGCCCTCACTTATGGCCAGACGTCCCGAATAGCTGTCAGACAATGAAAACAACAGTCAATTAGATTGACACATCATATGAACGTCATCTGTGGTCACACTTCTTGAGACAATCGATGAGTTCGGGAACAGTTCTGAGGCACTGAACCGTTGCGTTCATATAACAAGTGTTTCCCAAATTAGTGAGACCTGCGGGCAGTTGCAGAGCGGAGGCCAACTCGTGCTCATTCATGTCCTCCATGAACACCACCTGCTCTTTGGGCGCTTCCGGTAACTCCTCTTTGGTTCCCATCAGTAGAAGAGTTATTCCCTTCGGAGACAAACACGGGTTATGAGACAAATGGAGATAATTAGTGTCAAAATGAGTACATCTTTGAGTTGAATGTTGTTCCAGTCGTCGTCCTTAACTGTGGATCCCTTGAACAGCAGTTTCTGGCGATCCGTCTGAACGCCAGTCAACGCAAACAACTGGGCTTTGAAGACAACGGGCGGCTCATCAGTGGTTAACTCGACGTCCGAAAAGACCTCTTTATTCCACTTAACCTTAACTGCCATTCAATTCAAGACAATCACTAAACCGTTTCAATTGATCCGTAAGACAATGCAAACAAACCTTTAAAAGTTGGCATTTCGTGCGATTGTGTGCTGTTTGTGGCAATCAGTGATTCACGAGTTGTTGTCTTTTGGGTGATAATGGGTTCAATTGAATGCAAATTACACTCAAATCTAAATCAAACCCACATTTCAATCAATTTATGGTATGTTTTGTCTAATCATTCAAATGCCGATCAAATATGTGCTCATAAATGACATGACATAACCGGCACAGGGGGGGTAACCGTCACTATTGACACTTAAATCATGGCACACTTCAGGCAAACCAGTGATAAGTTTTATAAACAGTGGTAAAATGCATTTCATGCGCTTATTTATTAAATAAATTTATCATGGTCAATATTAATGATTAAATTTTAAAAATTAAATATTATGTAATATAAAAAGGGGTCTAAAGAGAGTTGTAATATAAACACTTATATTATGAACGAACCATTATATAACCATAACTATTGCCCTCTATTATTAACAGTTGATAAATAATGTTCTAACAAGTTAGTTTAATTTGATGAAAATGACCTTTCTCATTCCAATAATTGCGATTATAATGAATATAGTAGAATAAAGTACCCGTCCACCATAGGTTAAGTTTGATAGAATAAAGTATTCAAAAATTTGAGAGAGATGCAATTTTTAATAGTAAATAAATGTGCAAACAATTTAATGTAAAGCCATTCACAATTTAATAATTAATTTACATAATCTTAAAATTTATACAATAATTTATATGCTGTATATATTTACAAAAATAAATCATTTCATGTAAAATATTTTTGGCATAAATACAGAAAAACACTCGTCTTGTGAATTAAGTTTTGTCAAAAGTTGTACTCAATATATAAAAGTTCACAACTTTATGTGCGATTCCAACAATTCATTGTTAATAATAAGTAGATGTTTGTGGAAAACAATTAAACAAATGCTAACCCGAAGACAATCCACAAAATATTGTTTCTATAATTTCTCAAAATATTGTCGTTTGGGATAAATCCAAGTTATGATAACATCAATGGATTTGAAAGGTCTATAAAATCTAAAATATAGGTTTAGGTATATTAATGTCATTAATGTGTTGTTGAGTACAATCCTTACAATATTTAATGGTTTAGTGTTTGAGTGGTGTTATTGGCGTTGAATGTGTGAAACAATATATGTGTGAAACAGTTTTATGTCACAAAAGCTCTTAAGTCTTTAAAAGGCGTAATAAAAATGAGAACTAAATTAAAAACCAAACCAAAGATGAGCTTCAATAGGATATCACATGTATTTAAGGAATAGTTTCGCTCATATGACTAGTAATTAATCAAAACTTTTTTAATTAATTCCAATAATTCTCAACTAATCTTCAAAATATTGCCCAATAATTGGCAAAAAATATTTCCAAAAATTGTTTATTTAAGGAATAGTTTCGCTCATATGACTAGTAATTAATCAAAACTTTTTTAATTAATTCCAATAATTCTCAACTAATCTTCAAAATATTGCCCAATAATTGGCAAAAAATATTTCCAAAAATTGTCAAAAGTAATTCATAAATCGATATAATTTAATTTGTAAACTTGTCAATTAATTGAATGATTGCTTGCAATTGAGTTGCACTGCATTGTAAATACGTAAATACCGTACTATTAGTCTAACTAATAAAATACATGCTACAGTATATTCAGTCAAACAGGCATTTATTGCCCGCAATTGTAAATTATATTAATTTTAAAATAACTAAAAATTTGTAGAAAATAATTTAATTAATAAATTAATTCAGTGTTAATTAAACGATGGTTAAACTAATGTAGAATAGAGTGAAGTTTTATATCTCACATAAGATTGTCGTGAAAATCATCTAAAATAAAATTCATTCAAAACTAGAAAACATATTCCAAGTGCTAGACAATGGATCCCTTGTGTAGCCCTTTGTTGGACTTATCTTTTATACAGTTATTTGATATTTTATTAACTTTGGTGTCAGAAAATGATGTCGGGATTGCAGGCCTTGGATGAAGGAGTCTGCCCTGAGTTGTCCACAAACCACTGGAGGCATTAAATTTGCGCTTCAATTGCGCCCGTTTTGACAGTTCACTATCACTCGTGTCATTAGTTTCACGACAACAGACAATACTACGGCTCGGATGGAAACGCAAGTAATACAGATTCTGTGGTATTCAATGATAATGGCATTGTATATACTGTATAATGTATTACATAAATACATGGTATATTGAAATGTTTCACGACAACAGACAATACTACGGCTCGGATGGAAACGCAAGTAATACAGATTCTGTGGTATTCAATGATAATGGCATTGTATATACTGTATAATGTATTACATAAATACATGGTATATTGAAATGTATAGCGCTTACCATAACGCAGAGTCCGACAAAGAAGCTGGCAAAATGTCCGTACATTGCAATCATTTTATACCACTTAAGGTCATCGCAATGTGTGTACCAAAGAGTCATTAATATAATATTCTCGAAGAATATGAAAGTGTAATATAATGTATATCGGCGTCGAGTGGGTCTGTCCACTGGATTGAAGTAACAGAATATAAACATTACGCCCAACACTGCATTATATCCAAGTTCTTCGCATTGATTATCACAAAACTTGGTTTTCATGGATACGATCCATAAGAACATAATAAGCCAATGAATGACACAAACAATGCTTATATAGAACCGGAATTCACTGGCGAAGAGCGCCAGAGCTAACACTCGCGATGCGATCGAAAAGAATCGCCAAATAAACTGAACAGTGATTCCCTGTATTCAAGACAATTAATACGGTATTGAATGTCTGACAGCATACAAGAGATGGTGTGATACATACGGGCCAAGTCATGTTCGCCTTATCAGGTAATGACAGACGTAATGCCCTATGATATGAGACCAGTGACCACGAGAGCGACACTAACGATGCCAACACAGCCACTATTTGAGCCACAACTGCATATAATTGATAAGTATTAGCACAGAAAGTACTATTATCTACAAAATGAGATGAGTCTCAGATGACATACCGGTCCAGTTGTCAGGCGAGTGGTCGTTACCCTTCGCTAGAATATAGATCTGAAGGACCAGTTGTGGCGCCGCCTCCATAAAGCACTCAAATAGCCTCAACATCGCTGCGTCCGTGTCTTCGTATACCATATATTGGAAGTATTTCTTCTTCGTTTCCTTCATTTCTCTCGAGTTATTACTCGTTTGTCTGAACTTCAATCCATACATAAGTGAATCGAAATATCGCAGAATTGGTCCCAATTGTAGCAATAAAAATATAAATCTCATAATCCATTGACATTTCGATGTGGGAGGGGAGCCCTCCTCGCGCGAGTCCACGATATACCAGCGCATGGATATGCCGGTCATCACCAGAGTCGGCAACATTACAAACGCCATCGTCAGATAGAAGTACCTGTCCATCGATTATGACATACATTCATATCAAGTGATGCTTACCATAAAGGCAATGGTATTAATCTATGAAGAAAGTATTCATACCAATAGTCTTGGTTGAGATAATGGAAGGCAGCGACCGCTATGTCAGTGCCGATGTCGAAGAGGAAGCTGCCGATGGAGAAGAGTATGGCGAACACGTCCAGCAAAGTGAAGGTCATGTGGTCTGGGAGGGCGTCCAGACTGTCGTAGTCGCCGTCCACGCCGTATGTCATGTGGTGTGAGATGAGTGATGGACGCGAAGCACCGCTTCCCAGGTGACTCTTCTGCCGACTCATAGTCCGACTGTACGTCCGGTTCAGAGCACACACTTCCGGCACATCCTCATCACCACCACCTCCTCCTCGACGGCTCACCACTTCCGACACATCGCGCTCTGGGTTTGGATCCAATTCTGTGGTCTCGAGCGATGAGTTGGTGGCTATCACTTCACCACCGTTTGTCTCATTCAGACAATTATCTTCTTTGGATTGCCTCCGAACCGGCATTTCATTGAGTCGTCTGAATAGCAGTTAAAAACATTTCGTTTAATTTAATTACTATTCAAATCACTATTTGTTTCCCCATTTGTATCATAAATAAGACATTTTCGCACACTTTGTACTGATTTTCACAAATATATGTTAAATAATTTAAATAATTAAATCAATATTAATTGAATTCAATATAATTAAAAGTTTTAATGATTAAAACAAATAATTATAAACTAATTGATTGAAGCAACCGATAAAACAATAGTTTTTGTATAAAAAATCATTAATAAGTGACAGAAAGTGGTGTTCAAGTGGTGTTCAATGCATAGACTGAATGACTACTCATTCAATACACACAACCGTATGATTATTATGAAAGTCAAAGCTATGTATGCATACATTCGCAACACCAATGCATGAGTACTACTGACGATCACATTCAATACAATATGTGTGCCGAAGGTGTCACTAATGTTAAGTGAGTGTCAAGTGCACGCTCACCACTATATGCCTAACTGTCCCAAAACACACCCTATCATCGCATTTAAAAGTGACAAACTTTGTTATATTCATAGGAATTGTCAAAAAAGTCAATATTTAGTACTTGAGAGGAAAAGTGAATTAAAAACAAACAAATATTTGGTAGTATTTTGCGGACAAAATAAATACAAGTCTTATCTAAAAGTGAGAGTAAAACATAAAACTAAGGAAATGCTTGACTAATGCATGGGTTGTCTCTTAGCAGTCAGTACTCATTCAATACAGTGTTTGCAATCAAAAGCATTTATATTTCAATTCAAATCTAAATTATTTAGTTGTCTAGTCAATGATACATGGGATACAGTATATGGGTTAGTTGTACCAAGTTCATATCTGCTCGCCCACGTACCTCACCAATCAAACCTCCCTCCCCTTCACAACATCACGTCATTTATGTCAATCGTTTCAATGGTTACGAAATGAATGACTCAATACATAAATATGACGTCATTTGTGCGCAAACTCTGTCACATGTGCTGCACGTGTTGTCCGCACTTTAAACACATTTCATTGAATGCACTGTAAATGGCATTCAATTTGTGTTCATTTCACTGAATTATGTGTTAATTATGTTTAATTGTCTGCAAATTAAAGTGTGTTTACAATTGAATTCATTTTCCGATCAATGGTTAAGTGATTCATAAGAGTTGTGCCAAAAATGGGAAGATTCTCGGCATTGAATGCACTGAAGAGTTTGTGTGATAATGAGTGCACCGATGGTGTGGTCTCACGATTGAGACAATACACGCGACTCAAGAGTTGGTCACCAGAGGATAGACAGACAATTCTGGAGGCGTTGTCTGAACTGGTGGTGAGTCGTGAATGGAGTCCAAGAGTGGTCTCTATGTTTGGTCCCATTTTGAGTGATCTGTTGATGAGATGTAAACGCAAACCACAGCTCAGAGGAGATCTGTTCGTCTCCTTAAGTCATTTGATTGGTTACTATCCGAGTGCCACACACTTCGCCTACCAGTGCTTCCAGACATCACTGTTCAGTGCGGCCACTCTTGTCAAGTCTTGTGATGACCACCAGTTTGTGCTCAATGTCTTCATCGCATGCTTTAATTACCTTCACTTCAATCCTCTTTGGTTTCGTGACGCCATTGACTGGAGTTTTATATTGCAATACATATCACATCCCGAGTGTGACATCAGATATATAGCCATTCAATGCCATCGCATACTGTTTGCTATAAATGACAATCAATTTGAATGTCTCTTCAAACCGGAGTTCAGTGAAGAAGATTTGACTCGACTTCGAGTGAAATATTTATATCTATTCTCTTCTCGCAATCCAACCGTTAATCTGAAAAATAGTTTATATTATCAAAGATGTGATGAAGTGTTGAGTGATTCACAGCTTTGTTTCAAAGACGACGACTTCTGCGAAGACATTGTTTCAGTTGAAGGCGTTTTGATCAATAAATTTGCGATTAATAGTGAATGGACTCAAAGAAGTAGTTTCAGTGATGAGAACCGAATTGTTTTGCTGCCGACCACTCAGTCTAACCTCCGGTGTCTGGCATTAGGTGTTGCTTATGGCAAACCAGTGCTCATTGAGGGGCCCATCGGTTGTGGCAAAACATTGCTCGTCGAGTATATCGCATCCCTTTCCGGTCGGCATAAAGCGCCGCAACTAATGAAAGTGCAAATGGGAGACCAAATTGACGCCAAAGTGCTCATTGGTTCCCATATATGCACTGATATTCCCGGGGAATTCCTATGGAAGGCCGGACCGCTTACTGAAGCCATGAAACACGGCTTTTGGTTATTGCTCGAAGACATAGACTGCGCGCCGTCTGACGTGATATCGATGTTAATGTCGGTATTGGAGTCCAATTCTTTGGCATCCCTTCCCGGCTGTGAAAACCAGTTGAATAGAGTTCACAACGAATTTCGTATATTTTTCACTCGACGTCTCATTGGCTCTCAAAACAGTGATTTAAAACATTCCGAGTTTGCCATCAAATCGTCCACTCATTACAATTGTGTTAACAAATTATGTTATAAAATATCACTCGATTTGATGAATAGAGAAGAACTTCAGAAACTTATATCCAAAAAATGGCATAATTTGAGTCCAATTAGTGAAAGAATTTTAGATATTTATTATTACCTTCAAAATGATAGTCAAGATAATAGTCTTAAGAGACAAATATCTTTAAGAGATCTAATGAAATGGTGCCAAAGAATGTCTAAAGACTTTAAACTCAATTCAGACGAATCGGCGACAAAAGCGTTTCTCGACTCAAACGACTGTTTCCTTCAATCGATTTCCGATCCCAAACTTCGTGTATCCAAAGCAGAAGTGATCGGTTCTCATCTGAATATAACTCAAAGTCAAAGTGAATTCTTGTGTTGCAAACGAAAACCAGAGCTAATAGTGAATGAAAATCTCTTCAGAATCGGAAGATTTTCTGTTGGACTCAAAGAAAGACAAATCAATTTACAAGAAGAGCACAAATTTATGCATTCGTTTGCTTTGACACATCAGTCTCTTTCCCTTTTGGAGCGAATTTCTGTTGCCATCGATAATAAGGAACCCGTTTTGCTGTGTGGAGAGACCGGCACCGGAAAGACATCTTGTGTTCAATATTTGGCTAAAAGATTGCATAAATCTCTGACAGTTATCAATATGAACCAACAAAGCGATAGTTCAGACCTTTTGGGTGGATATAAACCGATTGAAATCAATGTAATGATTGGTCCCATAAAAGAGGAATATTTGGATTTGTTTTCATTGACCTTTGAAAGTGACAAAAATGTGTCGTTTTTGACAAAATTCGCTCAAATATTCAAGTCTGAAGAGTGGGCAACACTTTTCAAAGTAATGCTTCGCGTCTATGAAAGTGCTTTAACCAAATGCAAAGACAATCATCTGTTAGAGCGCTGGAAAGCATTGGGAGAGCGAATCAATCGATTGCAGTCCTTTCAACTCAACCAAAAGGGATGTCTGGCCTTTAGTTTCATCGAAGGAAGTCTTGTGAAAGCCATGAGAAGCGGTGGTTGGATATTATTGGATGAAATAAATTTGGCAGAATCGGAGACTTTGCAGTGTTTGTCAGCTATTCTCGACTCAGACGAGGCATCGCTTGCACTTCTGGACAAAGCGGACGGTATTCCCGTCGAACGAAACCCTGAGTTCCGTCTGTTTGGTTGTATGAATCCGGCTACAGATGTCGGCAAAAAGGAGTTACCGCTTGGAATCAGGAACCGGTTCACTGAGTTGTTTGTGGACCAACTCGAGGACAAGTCTGACCTAAGGATTCTGATTCACTCATATATTGGGAAATATGTTTCTCCGGGTGTTATCGAAGCGATTGTTGACTTTTATTTGCAAATTAAATGTAATTCAAAGACAGTGTTGACGGACGCCAATGGATTACGACCGCACTATAGTCTCAGGTTTGTCTATTTCATTCATTTAATAGTAATATGGTTTAAGATTTATTTAATTTTACTGATTGCTAGAAATTGAGTTATTTATTTATTTATACCGGTAGATTTTTTAAATCCTTAGTTTTTATACTTAAAATAATTACAATTATTTTATACTTTTAATTTATATAAATAAAACTTATATAGCATAATATTATTAAAAATTATAATTGCTAAAATGTTAGTCACATAAGTCAAGAATATTCTTATAAATAGAAATTTTTAAATGTTTTACAGAACCCTTTGCCGTGCATTGAGTGTCGCGGCCACTAATCCCTGCGCTGTAGTCATGAGATCTCTTTACGAATCATTTTGTCTGTCATTCTTGACTCGTTTGGACAAAATATCACGAATTAGAGTTGAAAACGAAATTAAAAAGACTTTATTTGGGAGTAAAGACTCGGTTAAGGTATTGAACGCCAAAATCCAATCTCCAAAATTCCCTGAAAAATATGAATCCATTGAAGACTATTATATTCTGAGGGGATCTAAAGAACCGAAAGTAAACGAGTCCTATATTCTAACGGATACTGTGAAGAAAAATCTGAAAGATATTTGTAGAATAGTGTCGATTGGGAAGACATTTCCCATTCTATTAGAAGGCGAGACATCAGTGGGAAAGACCAGTTTGATTGAATGGTTAGCCGCCGCCACCGGCAATGTCTGCGTTCGAGTCAATAATCACGAGCATACAGACCTTCAGGTATTTTAATAAATGATTTTTATGCCATTTCTGTTTATATGAATTACTGATATTTGTTTAGGAATATGTGGGCAGTTATTGTGTATGTCTGCGTTCGAGTCAATAATCACGAGCATACAGACCTTCAGGTATTTTAATGAATGATTTTTATGCCATTTCTGTTTATATGAATTACTGATATTTGTTTAGGAATATGTGGGCAGTTATTGTGTCGATACAGACGGCAAACTCATCTTCAGAGAAGGAGTATTGGCCGAAGCCATGAGGAATGGCTATTGGATTATATTAGATGAGCTTAACTTAGCGCCCACTGATGTGTTGGAAGCACTGAATCGAGTTCTTGATGACAATAGAGAACTGTTTATACCTGAAACCCAACAACTCATAAAAGCAAACCCAAAGTTTCTACTGTTGGCCACTCAGAACCCGGCCGGTCATTACGGCGGCCGTAAAATGCTTTCCCGAGCTTTTCGTAATCGTTTCGTTGAACTCCACTTCAATGAGATACCCAACGAAGAACTTGAGATTATTCTCCATCAGAGATGCGCTCTTCCCTTGTCTTACGCCAAACGAATGGTTGGAGTTCTTCACGATTTGCAGATTAGACGTCGAGAGAGTGGAGTGTTTGCTGGAAAGCATGGATTCATAACTTTAAGAGATCTGTTTCGTTGGGGAGAGAGATATAAGAAGTTTGCGAAACAACAGAACAAAGACATCCAGTTCTATGACTGGGACTTACATCTGGCGAATGACGGCTATATGTTACTGGCCGGTCGTGTCCGCAGACCTGAAGAGGTCACTCTTATTCAATCGGTTCTTGAGACCAGATTTAAGCGCACACTCGACACAAATGTTTTATTTAGTAAAACTTCTTTTCTAAACGACGCTATCATTCCGACTGAGTTTAAACACATTGTTTGGAATAAATCTTTCAAACGTTTGGGAACTCTATTATCCGAAGCCATTAAATATAATGAACCCGTTTTATTGGTCGGAGAGACGGGGTGTGGAAAGACATCAATTTGTCAGTTATTTGCCGCTCTTAACAATAAATCACTGTTTTCTGTGAATTGTCATATGAATACCGAAAGCGCAGACTTCTTAGGAAGTCTACGACCTGTGCGTAACTTTGAAGACGAAACTGATAGTCAGACCACTCGTCCCCTATTTGAATGGGTCGACGGCCCACTTGTTGACGCTATGAAAAGCGGTGATTACTTTATGGTCGACGAGATATCATTAGCCGACGACTCAGTTCTGGAGCGTTTGAATTCAGTGTTAGAACCGGAAAAAACTCTTCTGTTGGCGGAGAATAACAACACATTCGAGAGTGAAATCTCGATACCAGTGATCAAAGCCAAGGAATCGTTTCGATATATGGCGACAATGAATCCGGGAGGCGATTACGGCAAGAAAGAACTGTCACCCGCTCTCAGGAATCGCTTCACTGAGATCTGGTGTCCACCCTATGAAGACATCGAAGATATCAGAGATATTATTCGCCATAATTTGGATAACCAGTGGAGTGATTGCAAAGACATTGTGTGCCAATCGATGTGTGATTTTCTTTTGTGGTTCAATACAAATGTGAAAAATTCAAAACGAATTGTTTTAAGTATAAGAGATATATTGAGTTGGATTCACTTCATTAACTCAAGCACTCAATCAAATAATGCGATTACAATGTCTATAAGCAATGCATTCATTAACGGAGCTCTTCTTGTGTTTGTCGATGCGATTGGAAGCGCTGGATCTGCATTCAACTCAAGCGCCAAGAATTCAATTGCAATCCGTAGTGAATGCCAACAATATCTGAATCAACTTTCACAGCCATTGTCTGCCATCGACGCCGAGACTAATATGCAAATGGATGTTGTGTTGGATGAGTCCAAACATTTCTCAATCAAACCATTTTGCATCTCAAAAGGTCCAGACGTTGATGAAAGTATCAACAGTTACTACATGTGGAACAGTCCCACCGTTCAAACCAATGCATTACGTGTTGTGAGAGCAATGCAATTACCAAAACCTATACTTCTGGAAGGGATGCCCGGAGTGGGAAAGACTACTCTAATCCAAGCGTTGGCCAAAGCTTCGGGTCATCGTCTCATTCGAATCAATTTGTCGGAACAGACGGACATCAGTGATCTCTTTGGGGCTGATTTGCCGTTAGAGGGCGAGGACTCTGTCGGCAAATTTGCCTTCAGAGACGGTCCTCTACTACAGGCCCTTAAGAGTGAGTGGACGTGGATTCTGTTCGATGAACTCAATTTAGCCCAACAGTCGGTCCTCGAAGGACTCAACGCATGTCTGGACCACAGAAGTGAAATTTTTGTCTCCGAATTGAATAAAAGTTTTAAAATCAGTAAAACAATGACCAGAATATTTGCCACACAAAACCCCTACTCAGAAGGCGGCGCCCGTAAAGGTCTGCCTAAATCGCTGCTCAATCGGTTCACCAGTGTTTATATGCAAAACCTCTCCAACGATGACTATATCTTCATTCTCTCTCATCTGTTCCCTAAAGTACAGCAATCAGTGATTAAAACGATGGTTGACTTTAATAACGAAGTGATCGATGAAATAGTGATCGCAAACAAATTCGGCCAAAGAGGCAGTCCCTGGGAATTCAATCTCAGAGAACTGATCCGTTGGTCGCAACTCATGACACATAATGTGATGGAATTAAATGATGTGAAACCTGAGAATTTCGTGAAGTTTTTATATATCGATAAAATGAGAACAACTGAAGACCGACACAAAATGAAAGACATTTGTGACAAATACTTCCCCAACACTTTGAAATCGGATACCATTGAAGTTGTGATTACAGATAATTACCTACAAATCGGTCACTCGTTTCTGAAGCGTCGCCGTACTTTAGGCAATGAAATGACAAATTATATGATTTTTGAATCACAGAAGGAATGTCTGCAGTCTCTCATGAAATGTATTGAAATGAATTGGATGTCAATACTGATCGGAGAGTCAGGTGTCGGCAAAACGAGTGTCGTTAAGCTTTTGTCGGACCTAACCGGACATAAACTGCGAATTTTTTCTGTTAATTCAGAAATGGATACAATGGATCTGTTGGGAGGTTTTGAACAAAAAGATTTATCGCATCACTTGACACATATTGAAGAGTCTGTGTTTGACTTATGTTTGACATCGTTTGGCAAATCTGTAGATCATAAAGAAAATATATCACAAATATTGAAATTATGGTTTGAAATCCAAACATTGAATTCAGACAATGACTCCGTAAACCCCAACGTCTTATTAGAAAAACTTAAAATTTTGGACCAAATTATCAACAAATTAGAAGAATGTAACGAATCGGTGTCCAATATTACATCTGATTTAAAACAGCAAATAATTTCACTGAAAAGCAATTACGAGACCAAAGTGTTAGTGAGCGGTGCCTTTGAATGGCGGGACTCTATTCTGATCCGAGCCCTCATGGCTGGGGAATGGCTTTTGATAGACAACGCAAACCTGTGCAGCGCTTCAGTCTTGGATCGACTGAACGGTTTACTTGAGCCCAACGGAGAGCTCACTATCAATGAAAAGGGATCCATCGACGGGCAGATGACTACAATCAAACCACATCCACACTTCCGACTCATTCTTGCCATGAATCCAATGAATGGTGAGCTCTCGCGTGCGATGAGGAACAGAGGTATTGAGATCTATATGTTTCCGATTAACGCCAAACAAGACTTTGTTAAACAAGTGAATGGTTTAGTGAAAAGTGACGATAATATCACTGAGTTTTTTGTCAACTGTTTTGAGAATTTGTGCCAACATTTCAGTTTCTCTCAGTTCATTGAATACACTAAAAGTTTTATATTTCAACTCCAAAACGGATTTAAATCTGAAATTTGTTTAAAAGAATTTTACGCAAAACTCGAAACACAATCAATCAATGATGAAGACATTGTGCTTAATATGACTAATAATGTTGTTAATAGTGACTCTAAACTAATGACTCAATTATGTCTAAATAATTTTAAATACGATTCCCAGACCTCCTGTGCTCTCGAAGACTCTGCTTTGTTGGAGTCTTCACTGAAACAAAGACAACAGTGTTTTGATTTGAATTCAGATTCTTTGGAGAGATACTCGACAGGACTTCGCGTATATTTAGAGAAAAGTTGTTTAAAAGATTTGTTTATTCGTTATTATATTTTCAAAACTTATTGTTTCGGTGAACATTTTGATAATAGCATACAATTAGTGAAACAAATTGGCGATAATATTCAAGAATTAGTGCCCAAAGAGCTCAAAATGAGTGATTTGAATGAATTTCAAATTGATTTGAGATATGATTTTCATTTGTGGCAATTGCTGTTGAATTCAATTCATTCGTTTGACAATAATATTGAATTAATTGAGAAGAACTTAAACCGATTCGCGATTAATATGTTTTGGAATCAATTGAAATGTCAACAAATGTGTGCCAATCATAACACCGACAAAGAGTTGGTCTCATTCATGACAATCGCATCTCAACTAATCAATGGTAAAGTCGATGGAAATTTATTTCCAAAAGTTTTTGTTCCCATTCATAAGATTATCGATGAGATCGAAAGCAAACTAATTAGTGGTGCACTCGACTTATGTCCCACTAATGATGACTTTGTATTATTACGTGATATTGTTTTATGGATTTATCAGTTGTTAAGCGTTTGTCACCAAAACTACTCCAAAACACAGCTTTTAAATCAATTTATTTCTAATGAATTTATAATCCTTTGGGTTCTTATCAACGAGAAGTCATTATCGATATTACAGACCTTTTTAGACATTGATCTCAACACTAGTATCTCTGCAGTCAATCATTTGTTGAGAATCGATAGCTTTGACTCCAATAAAACCAAATATAAGATAATGCTCTCATTGACAGACAATTGTCTTGTTTTTAAAAGTTGCGACACTTCTTCCCTATTTGTATCATACAATAGATTATGTGACGATCTCTTGAGAGCCAATCAATCGACAGTTTTTAACACTTTTAAAGACACTGTTCTTCTAATATCTCATAACATCTGTGATCTTATCAGTGGTCAATACAATCGGAATCATCTTAAGAAAGACATTTCACTCATTGAGCAAATGTTACAAAATATATCCAATGATAATAAGGATTCTGAAGACAACACCGATTTGATTGATGTGATAAATAGACGCAAATTATTGGCGACCAATCAATGCGAACCAATATTTCTATTTTCTTTACTCTATTCAGAAGTCTCTTATTTTAACAAAAAGTCTCATAATTTGTACGAAAATTACATTCAATTAATTGAATCAAAATATTTTACGATAAATCCATTGCATATTTCGTGCATCTCTTTGGCACAAAATTCTGACAAAATAACCACAGATTTAATACTTCAACACTTCTTAGTTACGAAAATTACATTCAATTAATTGAATCAAAATATTTTACGATAAATCCATTGCATATTTCGTGCATCTCTTTGGCACAAAATTCTGACAAAATAACCACAGATTTAATACTTCAACACTTCTTAGATTTGAATCAAAATCTGTCAATTCAAAAAGTTTTGAGTCATTTATCACTAGATTTATCACATGATTTGAACAAAACATTTGAGTCAAATATTTTCGAAGAAAAATTATTACATTTATCTGCAGAATGCTTACCACTTATATCCCTGTCATCGAGTTATTTGCTCTCAAATAAACACATTTCCATCGGTTTATTGTCAGAAAAGATGTCCCAATTCTTACGCTTCAAACAGTTTTTGACTTTAAATTATGAACTCATTTGCGACTCTGAGAATAGTTCACTCAATAAGCATGGCTTTGAATTTGTGAGGAATTGGTTTTCACTATTAGTTCAAAACGTTTGTATGAACTCTCCCGTCAAGAAAAGCAGTTTAAGCGTTACCACCGATAACTTCAAAGAACTCTTTAATTATATATCACTCCTGATTCAAGAAACTAAAGACCCTTTTGATGAGAATATTGTTTTGATTTTTGTCGGATACATAACATCACAGATATTGTGTCCGACGTTTCCAATCGATCCCATTGAACGAATCAATTGTAAACTCAATCATTACAGACTTGATCTCAAGTTAATAAACGCTGAAATCGATGTCCGAAATGCTCTCAATCTGATTAAATCAAACAATCCATCAGTCGAGTCGTCCCATCACTCGCTTATACGTGAATTGATTCAAAGGAAGACACGATTAGAACTTAAAATTGAGAAGTTTTCGTCTCATCTACCCTTCCGTTCCTCATGTGCCGACTATTTCAAACTCAAATCCGATTGCATTCACTTCTCTGAGACAGTAATCAATAAGAAAACAATTGAAAACTTTTCGCAGAAATTCATTTCGTGTTATAGAGAAAAGAAAACTCAAAGAGAAGTCAAAACTTTAATACAGGAATCACTTAATTATCAGTCGTCTATCACAGCATTCATTCGCAAAACTCAATTATCTTATCCTTTATACCAAGACTTAGTCAATACATTCCTCATCGGAGTCTCGACTCTCTTGAGAGGTCTCAAAAACATTACATTTTATTTGCAAAATCAAAATCTAATTATTAATGAATTGAAGTTCAAATCCGTTGATGATATGAATACAACCATTAAAATTATGGGAAATTTTTGTGATACGAATTCTCCCTCTTTTATAGCAAATTATTTATGTAATTCAGAGACAGTCAACAAAATTAAGAAATTGTCAAATCTGTCAAAATTGAATTTCGAGACAAACATATCGACTCTTTTAAGATCTGCTTTAATAGAGATTCAAAATGAAATGTCTCTCAATTATAGCAATTCTCTGCAATTGCTTTCATTCCGTATTTTCAATGTATTTGTGAAGTGTTGGCAAAACATGAGAGAAGAACAAGAGTTGAAGCGATCAGAAGAAGAGGCGCTCTTTGAGTACAGAATGAAAACCGAGTGCTCGGATGTGACCGAAGAGGAGAGGGAGAGACTAGAAATGGAGGCTATATTTCCCACATATAATGAACAATACTTTGATGTGAGCGACGAGTTTGAAGGCAATGAAATCACTTTAAGAGAGTCCAAAATAGAAGATGAGATGATTTCCGATATAATAAGAAGTCATTTAAAAATTGTTGAATTAAGCGACAAAAGTGACAAATCTGTTCATAACTTCAGAAAGGCATACCTTTTGCGGCATTCAGTGATCTCTCAAATAACCAAACGTTTGGGTATTTTCTTCGACTACTCTATTGACAGCCAACTAATTGACGGACATATGATTGCATGCAATGAACTGATCGCTGATATTAAAGACAGTTCTTACGATTCATTCAATATATACCACAATTCATCGCTTTATGAAACGAGTCTTTGTTTTAAGATTCTGGAGTCAATGGAAAAGAAAATTATTACAGAATTATTGCCACAATTCGAAAGCCATCCGATTCTTATAAAATTGCTTAAAATAATTCAGAAAATATTTGACTTGAGATCAAACGAACCGCTCATTAACTTCGCCACTGGTTTGGAAGTACTGCTTCAGGCGGCGCAGGACTGGCAGTTAATGGCACACAAAGGCATCAGTTTATCCGATAATCTCAACGAAATGACACAATTGCTGATTAGTTGGAGGAAATTGGAGCTCAAGTATTGGTCCGAATGTCTCGATTCAGTGAATAAGGATATCGAAGACAAACAAATGAATTTATTTTGGTTTCATTTATACATAACTATAACCGCATTAATAGACGACAATACAAACAAAGACTGCAATCAAAATGAAATAAAAGAATTCATTGAATCAATCAAAAAGTTTATAGAAAATTCAAAATTAGGTGAATTCAAAGTCCGACTCAATCTTTTGACAACTTTTGTGTCTCACATCCGCTCAATAGACTCCAACACTAACGGCAATAATCTTTACATTTCTCTTCAAAATCTGCATAAATATTATTCACAATTTGTACAAAACGTTGAAAACGCTTTAATTAATGTCCGGAAACCGATTGAAAAGGAAGTGAAAGAATTTGTGAAAATCACGAAATGGAGTGAAAATAACTTTTGGTCCGTTAAGAGTTCGGTCGAGAAATCACACAAACAATTGTATAAATATATGAAGAAATACAGATCAGAATTGAATCTACCGGTTGACTCGAATCTTGCCATCCAAAGCAGTGGAAACATTAGCACAGCTTCTGATTGGAAACTGATTTTGAAAACTAAAGAGTTGTTTGCAAATGAAAACCTGAATTTGAGTCCAACCACACAATTGTTAAGTGATTACGAGTTTCTTCAGAAAAGTTTGTCGTTAACCAAGAAATCGAAACATTTGCTTAAAAAGACTGTTAAGAATACTACAGTTCTTGTGACACAAATTAAAGCAATTGAAAGCTTTTCATCCGATATAATAAGTGGTGTCAAAGAGTTGAGTGAACTTCAGGTCCCGAATGATATTAAAGACAAAACCAAATGGAAGAAAAGCGTTAATCACATAAAAACCCGAAAATATCGGGGTTTGAGTGAACTCTTTAAAAGTCTGAAACATTTTGGTCTCTCTTACCGAAAGGGTCTGATAATCGACTCAAACATTGATACGAATGATATCATTATGACTACCGGTGCTCTCGATTTTGAAACTAAACAAAACACTCGTCTATGCGACCAATTAAAAGGAGATATAAGTGATTGTAATAAATACTTCTATAAATGTTTGGCCCGTTTTGCAACACTAAGAAAACTACTCGAAAGTCCACACAAAGACATGATCACAAATATTGATCAAATGAAAGGATTCAGTGCACAGATAATGAAAAAAGTGGTCGACACTAGAAAATCAATTTCTGAAAAATTATATTTTTACAACCAATTGAGAGCTATTCAAGAAAATTTGTGTTTATTTACTAAATCTGACGATTCAATTGCAATTATCCCTAAACAAGAATTTAATGAATATTTATCTTCTGCTCAGAATATAATCGTAAGAATCAATGCTTTTATTTTGCGATCAATTGATTTATTAAACACTTTAAGCACTTCCACCGATGAACCAGTTTTGTTGCTCTCATCTCAACATAAGTTAGATATTTGTGAACAAAATATTAATGAAATGAGATATTCATTAGATTTCTATTATTCAAAATTTAATGAATTGATCCAAAATATGAAGACATTTGAATTGAGAGGAGAATGTGGTGTCAATTCGCTTAAAGATATGAATCATTTAAGTGATATTTACAAGACATTATCGTCACTAATGTCTGAACTGAATGAGTGTTACTCTCATAAAACATTTTGTTCTCTAAGTTTAAACAAGAAATTCTCACTTCTTTTGTGCGAAGCCAATGCTCTGACCATAAAATTCAACACAAAATTGCAAAACTATTCTTCAAATAAAACCGATGAAAGTGTAGACGATTTGAGTGCAAAACAGTCCATAAAAACAATTAAAACTATTTTGTTTTCCATCGAAAAGATTTATAAGTCTTACAACGAACCAAATAATGAGAAATCAGATGAAGACTTATTGGAAGATTTGTTTAGTTCTTCTGATTTAAAGAACATTTTGAAAGACTTTCAAATCAAAGCAACTTTTTATTCATTTTCAAAACTAATTAAATTAGTAAATACTGTTTGCCAACCAAATGAGAACTCCGTCCAAATGATGTCAATCTTTGAATTCAGAGCTCAAGTTCTCAAAAATATTTATCCATTTTTGGAGCTTTACGTCAATTCAGTCGAATATTTCTTAACACTTTCTGTGTCTTCATTGAGAACTTCAAATAAATTGCTTTCAATTCTGTTGTCATTGTTTTCGGAATTGAGTGAAAATGGGTTTTGTTTACCACAAGAACCAAGTGATGAAAGCAATGATAAAAACATGGGAACGGAGTTAAAGGATGTACAAGACGGAGGCCTTGGAGAGGGGGAGGGGACTAAAGATGTGAGCGATAAGATCGAGAGTGAGGATCAACTCGAAGACGCACTCAAAAGTGGCGCCAAAGAAGAGGGAAAGGGAGACGAAAATGAAGAAAAAGATATTGAAGAAGAAGACAATGGAATTGAAATGGAAAATGATTTCGACGGACAGATGTATAGTCCGTCCAAAGGAGACAATGAAGAAGAAGAAGACGATAGAAAATCAGATGAAGACGAGAGCGACAATAATCTTGAGGACCAAATGGGAGACGTGGACAACAATTCAGAAGTATTGGACGAAAAGATCTGGGGTTCGGATGAAGAGAATTCAGACTCAGATGAAGCAGACGGTGACGACGAGACAGGATTTGGTGGAAAGGATACGATTGATAACAAAGTTGTGGCCAAAGATGAGAACAAAGATCTGCCAAAAGATAAAGAGTTGGATGAGAAAGAAGAAGAAGAGGATAATAATGAAAATGAATTAGAAATCAATGAAAATGAGAACGAATTACAAAGTGATGAATACAAAGACGAAACAATAGATCCGTACAAAGACATAGAACCAAAGACTGATAAATCACAACAAGAATTGCCCGAAAATATGGAATTGGATGACAACGAAGATAACGACCAAAACGAGGAGTCGGGCGAACAAAAGGACGACATCTCTGTTTCGGGTCAGAGTTCAGGCGATTCCGAAACTGATGAACAGAATTTGGATGATATGAATGCCAGTGAAGAAGAGTTTGATGATAACACCGCTAATGAAAATGAGAGCAAAATTGAAGACTTGGAGAACAAAGTAGACGAAAATGAAACCAAAGATGAAGTGAATGAAGACATCGTTTCCGAAGAGAAGGAATCAAAACCTAATCCTAAAGAAGCGATGGATTCGACGAACGATCAGACATTCAGTGCAGAGAATTACGACAAGTCATCTGAAAATGAAAATAATGCCAAAAACTCATCGGATGTTTGTGTGGAAGAAAATGCCGAACAGAAGACTGAGGAGAGTGTCGCACAAAATGAAGAACAGCACGGATTTAACGACTCATTAGTCGGCGATAACTCGACTCAATCGGAGTCCAAACAACTGCAAAGTTCTGCCGCTTTAGACGACTCGGACGGCAAAGAAGAAAAATTGCAGCAAAACTACAAAAGAGAGAAAACTCGCCGCACTTTGGCTGACAATTACGATAAGAGCGCTAAACGACAGAAAGTAATGCCAAATGAAAGTGAAGACAATTCTAATACGGATCCGAAGAATAAGAATGAATCCGAGAACCAAATGATTGATTCTGAACTCTATCGACACGTCGACAACAAATTGAATGCTAATAACAAAGTCATAGACATCGCCAGTAATGAAGAGAAAGAGATTCAACGCGAAGACATTGAATCCGAATCTAAAGATGACATCGATTTGAATAAACCGGAAGAGATGGACATCGAAGAGAACAACGAATTGATTGATACCTTAAAAGCTATTGATGTGAAGTCAGAGAAGAATAAACTGAAATCAAGTAATAAAAGCGATGCAAACAAAGAAGAATTGAATGAAGAAGTGATGGAAATGGACGGAGAGATTGTGCCCACACTTACTGTTCAAAGAGGAAGTGAATCCACTTTTCACACATCAATAGATTTCAATGATATCCAAGAATTGAGTGAAACGACACTAATTGAGAAGCGTTTCGACGATTTATCGGTTAAAACACTTCAGAATTTGGACACCAATTCAGTGATAGACGTCTGGAAGGAATGTGAGGCCAAAGTGTCTCCACTGGTGTATGAGTTGTGCGAACGCTTGCAACTGGTGTTAGAGCCCACAAAAATGGCTAAATTAAGGGGCGATTACAGGACTGGGAAGCGCCTGAATATGCGGAAAGTGATCGCATATATCGCCAGTGACTTCAGAAAAGACAAGATATGGTTGAGACGAACGAAAGCCAGTAAAAGACAGTATCAGATCATTATAGCAGTGGACGACTCGTCGAGTATGTCTGACAACAAATCTAAACAATTGGCGTTCGAGTCGTTGGCTCTTTTGGGCAAATCGTTGACTCTATTAGAGGCGGGAGAGCTCGCCATCATGTCCTTTGGACAGACGGTCCGACTTTTACATGGCTTTAATGATGCGTTCAATGAGAATACCGGAGCCAACCTTTTGACACAAGTATGTTATTAACCAATTGATTACATTTAAAATATATTAATTAAATTCATGATTCAAACCAATAGTTAACTTTCGAGCAAAAGGAGACTCGAATCGCAGACCTCTTGGAGTCGACCATTCAATTGCTGTCAACTTCAAGACGCCGTCAGAGTTCCCAAAAGGAAGACATCTCTCAACTGCTTATAATAGTATCCGACGGAAGAGGGATTTACAGTGAAGGCGAACAAAGGGTCCGACAATTGATCAGAAAAATGAAAGAATTGGGGATTTTTGTGGTGTTTGTGGTGATCGACAACCCTTTGAACAAAGACTCAATACTCGACATACGAGTGCCAATCTTCAGCAGCTCTGGTAGTGTTCAGATCGAGTCATATATGGAACGCTTTCCCTTCCAGTTCTATATCCTGTTGCGTGACATCAATGGACTGCCGGTTGTGATGGGAGAAGCGCTTCGGCAGTGGTTTGAATTGATTACAAGCGGACAGTCGTGAAGACCTGACTATATATGAAACTTAACTTTATTGAAGAGTCAATAATAAAACTGTTTATCATTTGATAATATTTTGACAACACTTTAGTTAATTAAAATATTGATAATTACTTCAATTATACTTTCGACACAAATATTAAATTGATATTTGAGTTAATTTGTAAATAAAAGATAAATTTGTTTAGATTTTTCAATAAAAGGAATGAATTTATAGTTTCCATAAATTCCATGATTTGATGAAATAAGTGATTGAATTGTATTCCTAAGCCATAAATTGTCGCCTAAATTGCATTCATTAATATTAGCTCCGTTTCGAGGACTTCTTGGTCTTGGGCTCGACCTCCAGCTTAGTCCAGGCCTCGTCATCCCAGCCCTCATTCCAATCGGCGGATGTCTTCGCAGAACTCGAAGACTTTTTAGGCTTCACTTCAGTGTTTCCAAAGTCTAATAACTTCTCTTCTTTGCTGATTCTGGTGTCGGAACCGTTGGAACTGCTTTTGACCGATCGTTGCGGCGATGAGTCTTTCAACAAATTTGACGATTCGTTTCTCGACGGTCTGTCCGCCGAGTGATTGGGCGTTGAAGTGGACGACGAGGACGAAGAACTGAACAAATCTTCGGAATGATAACTACCAGTGTTTTGATAACTATTATCGTAGTTATTGTCAGCGTTTGGATCAGAGTATTGGGATCTCTGTGTGAACAGCGATGACATTTCACTCCAACCTTTTTTACCCATATCTGCGAACTGTGCACAAAATCGCGGATTAGTGGCAAATATTGGGAACACAAACCACAACACAAACCTTGGACCCCAACACAGACACCTGTGTCTGCAAATCATTAACTAAAGTCCCGTCTTTGACCTAATTTTAATTACATTCACTTATTTTTAAACAAATCAACAAAAACTCGAAAATGCATTTGTCTTAAGGAAACAAAATAAAGATCACAATAATTTTGAATCCCTATAAAAATACCTTTTGATTCACAGAACCACTCACTTCTGTGGCTTTTTCTGAAGCAATTGACCCAAACTTTACAGCCTTTTATTCATAACAAATCGTGCAAAACGTCAAACAAAACAAAATATAAAATAAAAGAAAATAAATGAAATGATAATAACGGTGCGGATTAAGTGCATAAAAGTCTTACGCTTTCTCCGGCCTTTGCCGCCAATTTTGTAGCGTTTGTGGCCAATGAAGACCAGCCCTGGAATTGAACACAAATTAATTGACGGTTTCATAAATCAATTGAATTGTATTACAGTTGAAAGTGAAGAGAAAGCGCCGTTCAGTCCATACTCTGATTGACTTCGAGGAGGATTAGCGTTATAACCAAAGCCTGAATAGCGTCCGCCTTGACTCGGGGCTACATTGCTGTCAAATGCAGTGTCTATTAGTCATCGGTGGTCAACACAATCACCACAAACCACTCACTCAGGTCTCGACATATTCTCCGATTGTTTTCGAGAGAAGAAGTCTTCCTTTTGACGATTGATTTCTTGTAAATCAGAACTGAATCCAAACAAAACAATGAGTCAAACAAAGGCTACAATTAATGATTTGTTGGAAACCTTTGGTAACTATTAGACGTCCACTCATTGTCTTCCCATTCGGCGGCCTTTGGTTTGGGCGCCGAAGAAGAGTTAGAATTTGCAGAACTCTTGGGAATTATACGCGAAGTATAGTCTTTGGCCGAAGACGTGTCGATCGACCACTTCTTTCCCGACGCTTCCGTTGATATCTAATAAACAAAACAATTCATACAAATTGTCTCGAAATGGTGTCATATTTGTGGCAAACTTTGTCTCTATAGAGAGCGGCCGCTCGAGTGTTGTATTTCTCAGTCAAAGGCAAAGACGAGTCCCAATCGGACTGCGACTCCAAGAACTCTTTGGCCCTCCGATTGCCACCCATTTTCATCTTCTGGAGTTCGATGTCTTTCCACTTATCCATAGTTACCGACCGAACGAAGCTATAAATGAGACAATCGTTCAGATATTGCGGTCATATGTGCGCCAATTATGGTGCGGATCAGATGAGTGACCTGAGGTGGACACCAAGACCTCTGTGTTTGCCGGAACAGTCCAAACAGATCCATATGCCGTATGACACACTCACCCACTGAGGGTTACAGGCGTTGCACTCAAAGCAGTACTGAATTGCAGATAATTAATGGTTAAGACATTTGACACCAAAACATATGATCATGTCTTACATTGTTTGCATCATTTGGTCGCAACTCTTGTAGTATTCTTCTGGTTCTCGGACTCGCCATTTGGTCTCAAATGTGATAATTAAATAGTAATTAATAAAATAAAAATAATTAAATTGATTAAAAGTACAGCAATTGGTATGAAATGAGTAAATATGTGGCAAATGAGTGCCAAATAAGTGCCAAAGCGTTGAAATCAATGGCAATAATGTGTTGGACGGCAGACGTCATCAAAAGCCATACAAACCTGTGTTTACGTCATATATTGGGGTTGTTTTGCAAATAAGTGTCATTTGGGGGGCATTTCAGGGGATTTCCATTCATTTTGTCACAAAATGTGTTCAAAAAGTACTTTTAGAGTACAATTGAATTCATGAGAAATCAAACATGTGTTCAAACACTTGACTGATTGAACATTCATTGATTGCAAAAACACATGTATTTTATATATATATCGTGAATATCTGTGAATTGAATTATTTGAGAGACAAACAGATCTCATAGAGTGGTGAAGATGTCATCGACGGACAGACAGTCATCGGCAGTGAATCCCGTGGTATACGTGACTCGTATTCAGAGCTTCTGTTCGGCGCATCGACTGAACAGCGGATCACTTGATGTGCAGACAAACGGTCAGACATATGGCAAATGCAATGCAGTTCACGGACACAACTATAAGGCAGAGGTGACAGTGAGAGGTGCTGTCGATGCCATCACTGGCTTTGTGGTGGACATCGCTATTCTCAATGATATCATCGATGAGACTATAATGAAGACAATGGACCACAAGAACATCGACGAAGACGTGCCTTACTTTCGGGACAACCATATCGTGAGTACTGCAGAGAATATTGCGGTTTATATCTGGAAAGCAATCGCAGAAAGACTGCCGAAGAGTGTGTCCTTGGATTCAATCAAATTACACGAAACCGACAAAAATGTATTCGTATTTCGCGGAGAATTTGTCTGAAAATTATTGATTTCTTATAGAAAAATATGTTTAAAGAAATAAATTTATATTTTGCGATAATTTTTATTTTATTTTTAGTATAATATTTTTTACTGGATATACAGTACAATAAAAATTTATGAAGTTATTAATGTGTGTTATATAATGTGAATAAGCAGTTGCTATGGTATTGTCTATCGTTCAAAACGAAACAAATTACAAAAATTAGTAGAAATAGTAAATATGGTTAATATTGTCCGCAATAAATGTCTTATAATCGGCGACTCAACCGTCGGTAAAACAGCGATAGTGAGAGCCCTGACGTCTACTCAATCCAATCCATTGCCCATTAAGTACTTAATGACGACAGACATCGATATAAGTGTCAAAAAGTTGAGTCAAACGAGTGACCAAATGGTTGAGTTGTTTCTATACGACTGTTCAGGAAAACCATTTTATAGACCAATACTTCAGTCCATTGTCGCCAATAATACGCCACTCATTGTCGCCGTCTTTGATACCACTAACGAAGAGACATTGAATTCATTGCATAACTGGTTGTCAGAAGTGCTGAAAGACGTGGCGAAGGACAGAGTGATTGGTATTATATTAGGAAATAAAGTGGATTTAGAGGAACGGGTTGTCGTCCGCGCTGAAGACGCCCATCAGTTGTCGAAAAAGTATAAAATGAGATATTTTGAGACCAGTGCTAAGGATGGCACCGGTATTGATGAGGCATTCACTCATTTAATCAGTACTTGTTATGAACTCAATAGCAAGACTAATAATGCTTAAAATTTTTGATTAATTAATAATGAATTAATGAATCAATGATTTGTATATAAAATAAATTTAATTATCATACTACAGTACACTAACTCCTTTGTATTACAAGTCTATTTAATGTGTAAATGTTATAAAATTATAAAGTAATTATAAATAAAGCTAAATCTTAAAATCTTTTATAATTAAAGAATTTATTTATTACATACAGTATATTAATTTAAATAAGTTAGTTTATAATTTTATTTAAAACCTCAAGGTAAATGCAGACCATATAAAGCATCCACGTATGGATATAAGCTACTTTATTATTTAAACAATTTATAACTTAATTATCATTTTATAATTTGTGATTCAACATATTTATGAAATTAATAGACTTGTTAAAATTTTTACAAAATTCAATAACATTTCAAACAAAACATGCTTGGTTTTGTATTTATCAAAAAAGTGATTATCAACTTATCAATAACAAAAATATGTTTTTATATGTTTTAAGTTTTTGGAGTTAACATCAAGTTTTATATAACAATTTAAACAAGCTATGTATTAATGAATTTTAATCATACTTTAAGTTATTCAACTACCGTATTAAATTATATGTGATAATTTATTCAATAAAGTTTATTGGAATTAGATTTGAGATTCATTCTAAAAATGGTATTTATGATTATGAAATGAGTAAATAAATAAAATTATTGTAAAATGTCTATAAAAATATAAAGTTTTTTCAATGTTAAATTATGTGAACTACAAATTGAAAATGTGAATTGAAAATTAAACGTAAGTAAAATAAACAATCTTAATAGATTGTTAAATGATTATTTGACCAAAAGTCATATATAATACAATATTATGTAATTGAAGTTAATGTGTAAAATGAGTAACCCGTATGTCAATAATTACATAATATTACAAACAAGACTGTCGTTCCTATAATTAGTATTAATTTCATTGGCTCTCCTCTTCAGGGCTTCGATATAAACACTTCTATTAAAAGAGCCCGCATTTAGACGAGCGATCACATCCCGTCCCGGTTTGAGCTGAACATCAAATAAAGCAAACACTGGCTTATGGTCTGAAGAATCCATTTGTGGGATCCAATCGTATAGAAGTGAACTGATGTGTGACTCCTGTTTAGAACGATATAAAATTCTATCCGTAAAAGAGGGTACCCTTTGGCTAATGAGGTCGTAATCATTGGACCCATATTTGAATTTATAAGTCGGCGGAAATTTAGGTGAAGACGATTCACAGAACCCTTTGAATGCCAGCCCTCGGCTCATCACTTGTGACAACTGATCCATTTCCCTAAATCTATCCAGTGACACTTTTAACACATTTTTGGGTCTATTAATAATTTTGGTCACATCTTGTCCGGAGATCTCTAACCGGAAGTTAAGGTCTCCGAACCAGAAAACACAGTCAAATCTTGCGGTCACATCTCGGCTCACATACCGGGGGTTCAATGGATGCAAATTCT